TGTGAGGATTCGAACCCGGATCTTCGGCGTGACGAGCCAACGCTTTAACCCTTAGGCTACCCCACCGCACCACTACTTTCCGAAAATACTAAAGTATCTGTTTATCACTTGCCACTACTTTCCGTAAATTCTAACGTGTCTGTTTATCACTTGCCACTACTTTCCGAAAATACTAAAGTGTCTGTTTATCATTTGCCACTACGTTCCGAAAATACTAAAGTGTCTGTTTATCACTTGCCACTACTTTCCGAAAATACTAAAGTGTCTGTTTATCACTTGCCACTACTTTCCGAAAATACTATAGAATCTGTTTATCACTTGCCACTTCTTTATGTAAGTACTAAAGTGTCTGTTTATCACTTGCCACTACTTTCTGTAAACACTAAAGTGTCTATTTATCACTTGCCACTACTTTCTGTAAACACTTAAGTGTCTGTTTATCACTTGCCACTACTTTCTGTAAATACTATAGTGTCTGTTTATCACTTGCCACTACTTTCTGTAAATACTAAAGTGTCTGTTTATCACTTGCTACTACTTTCTGTAAACACTAAAGTGTATGTTTATCATTTATCACCACTGTCATTGTAATTGTATCTGGGGCCATGGAATCTCATGCAATAAAGTTCATTCATTCGTATTAGAAATTTCTATTGATATTTTCAATTTGATATTGACATCAACTTTGCAAAACAGTTATTCAAATCTACCTGAACATTTGAAACCAGTCATTTGTCAATACAAAAAGAGGATGCCATCCACTTTGATGTCATAACATTATAAAACGATCATGCTCGTTGGTGTTTCTCTCAATGAACTATATTTTATTTAACTACATCTCCCCACACCCGTCACCCAGTCTGTGTGATGCATGTGTGTCCGGATCAAAAGTATGCGCGCTTAATTTTATTTTTTTCAATTGAAAATTCAAATAATCCCTTTTGTGATCATTTGTACAGTGCAGGTATCGTCCAAAGGTGTTACACTGAACTACGCATTTCGCGGAGTGCTTTGAAGGTGCCTGGGCTCCCTGTCCTGATTCATGAGCTTCCTGTGCTTCGAACTTGGCCCACAATGAAGTCCATGTGGTGTCACCCGATGCAAGTGACGCAGATAGTGCTGATGCTTGAAGTATATCCATTATTATTATCACTATTATCCCTGGAAAATCTGCACAGAAAGGGATTCACGGTGTTCTCGTTTTGCTGTAGGGAACAAGTCGTTTTGATTGTCCAAAGGTTGGGTCATTGTGACTTGAATGACTGTAGAAGTGTTTAGACAAAGCCATCTTTCATCTATGTGAATACTGTAACTTACACTTATCAGAACAGATCAACCCTCTTGAATGTCTAGCTCATGACATGTCAAAATGTTGAATTAGCTGTTCAAAACTAAAAACAGTTTTACAATTAATACCATTCTCACTAAAGGAACTATGTGGTTGCATACAAACACCCGTGTAGACTTCTTCATTTAAATGTAGACGTATGACACAATTTTAATAAAACATAAAAATATAACAATTTGCTCAGTGTTAGGCGCATTTGTATTTTCCAGGTCCAAAGTCGTCCTAAAACCTTACCTACCTCCTTATTCTGCAAATGACTGTTATTATCAAAAGATTCGTACGTTTTAACTTGCGGAGCAAACACTTTCAGCCATATATACAGAATTGTTTTGTCTGCGATCGTTGTCTAACTTGGTCAGTAAGAAGGAATTTTTCCTAATGGGCAACTGTTGGGAGTCTAACCCGGTGGACCCAAAGAGTACCACTAACTGTAAACAGAACATACTCCTACACACTTCCGCAAATGCATCCCAAATAGAGATGTCACTGAAGTTCCGCAGTACTACAGCATGAGGATAAATGGCATCCTGTTTTGGACAGTCTTGACGGAACGTTAAATATGCACAGGAACCAGAAATGGCAAATCTCAACGCCTATTTTCGGCACATCTTCCCTGGTGGTTTCTCGAAATGTCTTTGAATTTGCCGATATCAATATCAAAAAAGTGAATGACATAATCTCTCCCTTCTATTATCGGTTTTGAGTTTGACTTCTTATTATCTTTATTCAAGAATGACTCTATTGTGAAAATGTTTTTAGGGATGGCGTGTTGTGGTTTGGGATAAGAAGCAGCATATCACAATTTCTGAATCTCAACCGTATTGATTGTTATAAAACATTGAGAGGAACACAGACATGGATCCTTATACCCGAGAGATGTATTAATTCAGCTTCTTCTCCCCTAACGGATATCCTCGCTTCTTTCGGTTTATAAAATCTATACACATTATTCTGCAACCCTCAAGGGCTAAATCGGTTCCAACGACGATTTGTCTACAAGGTTAGCGTTTCAGGTCTGTGAACATTCAATACTCAGAAGTCAGTCGCAATGTTGCAGTCAAAACATTGATTGAGAGGTTTATTTCATTTGGATAAAAAACAGCATAACGGAATTTTCTCGAAGAAGATAGTTCGTGGCAGCTTGAACGATATCGTATTCCTATCTTCAAATTCAATAAGAACTTTTAAAACCATACAGAACTAGCAATGGAACCTTTCCTGTCTCCGACTTCATGAAGCACACTCGCAGACAGAAAGCAACTAATAAGCTGTCGAGTGAATAGGCTGTTACTTCAGAATTCTGTGTGTTCAATTTTCATTTTGAAAAAAGACATTTCAGACATTTAAACCAATATGTATGCAAATAATGGTTTGACTTATATGTGCTTTCAATTGTTTGATGTGTTATTGTGGACTGAGTGTGATTCTGTTGTTACTCTTTCAACAGTATATCAGTTATTTAAAATGTCATGGAGTAAGTGAGTGAGGATGTTTAGTTTTACGCTGCATTCACCGAATATTCCAGCTATGTGGCGGCGGTCTGTGAATAATCAAGTCTTGGACCAGACAATCAAGTGATCAACAGCATGAGCATCGACATACGCAATTGGGATACGACGACATGTGTCAACCAATTCAGCGATCTTGACCACCCGATACCGTTAGTCGCCTCTTACGACAAGCATGGGTTGCTGAAGGTCAATTCTAACCCAGATCTTCACGGGTCAAAACGCCATAGACCCAGAGGAACCAGACTCGATTGTCCACTGAAACTAAACATTATATGAATGAAAATCAGTGATGAAACCAGGTGTTTGAAAGGAGTGTCGTCCTAATCTGCCCTTTCGGTAGTAGCCATCATTTTAACACTTTGTAGGAAAAAGTGTTTGATGCCTGATGACGCACAATACTACTCGTACTCAGCCACCGACAATCAAGTGATGGAATGGAAAATCTAGTGGCAAGATTGTGCTTGTACTGATTTTGGTGAGTGAATGAGTTTATTTTTACACCGTTTTAGCAATACTATTTCAACAATATTACGACGGGGGACACCAGAAATGGGATGCACACACTGTATCCATCATAACAATAGCGCATGCTTATAATGCGCATATATCCACGCTCGTAAGCATGCTCATGGCGCTAATACACTATTACTCCAGATAACCCAGGCTGCCTGTTAGGGGCTAGAAGGTTATAGTCACATGACGTATCCCACCAGGTACTCATTTTCTAATGGGTGTACAGAGGCATTGATTAAACAAACTCATTTGCCTGAGGTGAGACCACATGCATCACATGTGCTTCGTTGTGGGGCAGGACTGAAGTCCAAGCACTCTCCGCGCCCAACGTTGCTTAACTTCAACTGATACTTGACCTGAGCTCTATGCACCACCACGATCCATGTGATGAATCGAATTGGTCTTCGGCGTGACGAGCGAAAGCTTTAACCACTAGGCGACCCTACGACCCTGTTTTCGTTAAGACTGATAAGAATATGTACATTTTGGAGAGATGCAGAAATTCTGCCATTTATGACAATAAAACCTATACAGAAATGTTTTCGTTTTACAACATATTGGTAGAGGGGGCGAGAGGCGGTCACTTTTTATATCACACAAGTCTCTGCGTTTCCGCTTCAAGTGGGAGGAAAGTTCGATTTGCTGTTGGTGCGGAGTAGACCAGCTTCATTACGCAAGGTGAGTGAGTGGTTCAACGTCGATTGGAACAGTTTTCCAGTTCCTTCATATGGGAAAATACAAGTTCTAGACGTTTACCACCTTGGTGAAACCTTTTAAGTGACAAACTAGAAACGTAATCATGGAACAGAAGTGTTGATTTCGAATACAGATTGGGGCGGTGGGGTAGGCTTGTGGTTAAAGCGTTCGCTCGTCACACCGAAGACCCAGGTTCGATTCCCAACATGGGTACAATGTGTGAAGCCCATTTGTGGAGTCCCCCGTCGTGATATTGCTGGAATATTGCTAAATGCAGCGTAAAACCATACTCACTCACTACAATACAAATCTCATAACTGCGAGTAAATGACGCATTGTGTTGGTATTCCCTCATCAAACAGCTACGATAGCGATCTAAGCACTTATCACCTAACACAGCACAGCCTTGTTTTCTTCGTGTTACGCTGTCGACTAAGGTGCTGGAAGTCGCTGAACGGAGTTGCGTCCCTTAGACAGAACAGGAGCCTATGGTCGGGGATCGAATCCCGATCATGTCTCTGGGCATGTCTGCTCCATAACCCATGCTCTTGACTTTCTTAGAAGAGGTAAACGTCCAAGACGTGTATCATTTTGGGCTTTCCTCCGACAGCAAATACTGTTCAGAACGGCGTTAAACCAAACTCCCTCACTCACCTTGTTTACTAAAGATTGTTCTCTCATTACCAGCTTCTCAACGGCACAGTCCTTAATTGTTCGCAGAATGGATAATCATTACCCGGAATAATTTACATTTTGGCCATTAACGATTCTGACAAATTCAGAAGCTTGAGAAGTAGCAAAACATCAGTATTGCGAGGATGCATTAAGACATTCCACGAACAATATGCCTGCTTTGACAAATCTGTCAAGAATTGATAACATTGTGTCACCACTGACAACTACACAAAGAAATTGAAAGAAACGACGGACTTAGTTTCAGACATTTTATTACGAAGCACCACTGATCATGAGTGCGTGGTGGTGTGTGACCCGACATATAAAAGTTAACAAATTAATATGATATATTTAACATCAGATATATAAACGACAACTGGAACACAGCAGCACAAGCAGCACATCACTGTATCACGATCTATCATCACGGACTTCCCTTGGGGAAGAAATGTCGTTAACCAAGCACTCATATGAACATCCCACTCTTTAATCGTAAAATACTTCACTGAAACTGTTCCACTACATGCACCGGAAGTTAATTAACATTTTGTCACGAAGCCAGCTGTGCACTAATTTAAAGTCGACCAATTCTTATGCATGGAAATTGGTGATAAATCGATAGCCGGTTTAAATTTTTTTTTGTTTTGAATGCAGGAAAATATTTGGCATTTCAGCATTCTCACAAAGTACATGCAAATAAAATATAACCAAAAACTCTTCCTGTACACAGGAGCTTGTAACCATGCCCCCAATACCTTCCTTTTGTTTAACGCTCAATCACAGACTGTAGGGAATCCCATTGTGAGACACGATTGAATCTGAAGACTATTCTGGCGGTAGAAGGGTTTCTTTAACATGTACATTATTATGTAACTTTTATGAATTCTTTATGAATCTTGATAATAGGTGGAGGGCGACACAAATAAAAATATCTTTGCAATGTATGTCGTACAAGCCATACATAGTAGAGCTAATCAATAATATCTACATTAAATTCAACGTTACTCAGCTTCAATCATATTTTGTCTCTGACTGATCATTTTTCTGTGACCATTTAACATCAGTGAAAATATAATGTAAATCCACATTTCACATTCCCATGTCAACATATCAAATATAGTTTACATGTTTTATTCACAAAATAAACGGGTATCACATATTTGAGAAATGATTGTCAAATATAAGTACAGTTCATTTCCTTGGAAAATAGAAAATCCAGTCTAAAAATACAAATGTTCATTTCACATTTTGTCAACGTCAAAGGGCGTTCATACCGTGACGCAAATCCTGACATATACAATACAAGCGTCAAAACCCTTTCCATACTCACAAGGAACATTTTCCAAAAGCAGAGTCGATTATAAAGTTCCAACTATATCATGACCATCGCTGCCAAAGGGTGATGGTAACAGGTGTTTGCAAAAATGTGAGCGCATCCAGCTCTACGGTTGGCACCCTTTGTAAAACATTCACATTTTATCCGGTAATCAATACACCTTTTTGATTACCTACTTCAAACAGGGTTCAGGTGTTTAGCCGTTCAGTTCGCAAATGTCAGCCTCTTTGGAAACATGTCCCACTTTCACTTGATACCTCATTCAGTACTTTCATCGACTGACTTCTTCGTATACGTGACAAGTAAAACGTTCGGTAGTTCTCTTCAGCAAGAATCATTCAACGTTACATATGCCCTACTCCTCTTGTCAACCTATATCCTTGGACATACACATCCTTCTCAAGAGTTGACATCAGATAAATGTGCACTTATACAGATAAGGCAGACTTAGTTCATCTGGTGAAGTAGGGAGCACATTTTTCATCCAAAAGTTGCACTGAGCTTCTCTGTTTTAACGGGTCGTAAACCTCTTGTGTCATATACTGTTTGGCAATAGACTCGGAACTTGCTGCGTGTTTACGAAGCAAGATCTCACGAAGTTCTTGTCGCGATTTGTGACTTCTAAAAACATAGACCAGAGGATCCATTGCCGAGCTGGCAAGGGCAAGAGCAATAGACATTGTCTGTACAAACGGTGGCACTTGGTAATCACTTCGAAGAACGGTTTCCAGGATGATGACCGTGAAGTAAGGCAACCAGCATCCGATGAAGGTAAGAAAGACTATGATACTGGTAACAGCCGTTCGCCATTCATCCCGGTACCAAAGGAGGGTACCAAGCTTGTGCACACTGAATTTCCGTCCCAGTATTGGAGCAGTACTGCTTCGACGTCGTTTGTCCAGTATTGTAGGGCTCTGATTTGTCTCTTCCAGTATTCTGGGAACTAAACTGTTGCGACGAGTCTTCTGGCTAATTAGCTTTGCAGCCCGGAAGATTACAGAGTAGACCCACACCATGACGATCAGCGGAAGAGCAAAACATATGCATACGAGGAACAGATTGTAGTAAGAATCATATTTGTTGTCACTGTCCCACTTCACTGTACAGATCATCTTGTGAGTGCGGAACTCAAACTTGTTCCATCCAACGACGGGCGGGATTGAAATAATCCCAGCTATAACCCAAACAGCACCGATCATGAAATAGCAACGAATTCTTGTGATCTTCATCCGGTAGTGCAAAGGAGAGACAATAGCGCAGTATCTGTCAATTGATATCACAACCAGAGTCAGTGTACTTGCAGCAAATACAAAATTGAGAACAAAACCAGTCACCTGGCACCACACAAGTCCGAAGATCCATTCTCCATATATCAAACTTGCAAAGGCAAAAGGAATAATTATTAAAGCAGTCAAACAATTGCAAGCAGTTAAGTTGAGCTGGAAACAATTTGAAATTGTAAATGATTTGAACTTCTTGTAAAATAGAAGAAATACAAAAGAGTTTAGAGAAATACTTGTAAGGAACACGAAGAGGAGAAAAGTTCCTATTAAAGTTAACTTGACTATCTCCAGCGTCATATCCTGAACAGGGCACACTGCACCGGCTCCTGAACAGTTCAGTGTTAACGATCTGATCACATTATCCTCGTAGTCTCCTCTCATCTCGCTGGCGTTCATAGTTGTGTGTGAGGTTGCGCGACTGGCAGCCGCTTTATAGCCAGCAGTGGAAGAAATCAATAGAGATTAGCTGATATGTCTAACATCTTCACACTCCTGGCCTACTGTGGCTTGATGAAATGGAAGTGGTCCTTTCAGAAGTCACAAATGTTTCCTTTCCTTATTTCCTTGGGGCGTTGTAGTGGAGGCAGGAGCAGTTGTTCATAAAGGCGCTTTGTGCGGCTTAAGGACTTTGGCAATCTTCAGAACGGCCTCGATCAGCGAACTGGAAGATAAAAGGCTGATTATTAGCACAATGAGATGAATTGAATATTTTCATAAGGACAACATAAAGTTAATTATTAGGACAATGAGGTGACCTGAAGTTGTTTACAAGGCTTGCAAATCCTTTTCGCGATTGTCATCTGATTTCCCGTGATCCATGCATATATTTTCATATCTACTTTGAATTTTATTCCCAGTTGATTGTGTTTTCGGTAGACATTAGTGATCGAAACTGATTAAACCTCTGACGTTGACATCTTGTATTTTCACACATCCTCGAAGGAAAGCCGGACATAATGGATGACTTGTGCATCGAAGTCAACTCAAGGATTGATCACTCCACACTGTCTGTGGATAGCAACAGCTTGTCAACTAAAAACATCATGGAATGGATACATAAAACAGTATCTTCAAACAGTTATATTACCTATACCCGGATTCATTTGTGTCACAGGCTGATATGAACGAACGACAAAGAACTCTGAATCTAATAACCTTTCATCGTGGTCTAAACAGGCTTTCCATTAACGTTTGGCTCATCATCTCTTTTGGGAATGGGAACTTTCTGAGCGAAGAGATGTTCAATCTTACAGGCATGGCAGGCAATACATTACATGGCTCACAGGGGCGAACTCGGAAGCATGTTACGAATACCTCATTTAATATAAATAGAATGTTATTGATATTTCACAAGGAAGAATCTTAATGTGGAGAAACAAGTACAGGGGTTTATTTTGGTTTGACATTGTGGTTTGGTCAAAATTAATGACTCGGGAGCTTATACATGTACAGAGAAGGGGGCTATGCGTCTATGGTAGGTCATCGTCTTCTTTCACTCTTTGTTACAGGGTGCTGCTTGGGGAATCATAACGTGGCTTTGTTTTAATGTTCCACGTGGTACAAGTTTATGGTTCGACTGTCTGTGTGCTGTGACAGTGGTAGTGGGGTTAATACGTTTAACTTGTTTTGTTTGTTTGTTTATTTATCTGTTGTTTAACACCGCAATATACCAGATATATGGCGGCGGTCTGTAGAAAATCGAGACTACCCGATGATCAACAGCATGAGCATCGATCTACGCAATTATTAGAGTTACATTACAGAGAAAATAGTTTGATGGAGGCAAAGATCTTCTCCTTGCACTTTGTCATCTAAATACAAAAATGTTATCTATAGAGCGACTTTTATTTTATTACGAGAAGGAAAATTACATTAAACGACCACCACCGTCTTTAAGACGCATATAAATAAGTTGCCTCATATATCTTGCGTCTAAGCTCTATGGATAGCGGGACGTCAGACATTGTTACTGATACTAATGACCTGGCCCATCTAAAGCCAGACTTTCGGTGAGGATTGCGATACCACCAAACTTCTCAGCAGAATATGAGCGAAGATGACAGGAAAATCATTTACAAAGGACAAGGTTGTATCATGAGTCCTTACACACTTTCTTGACACGAGGGAAGGAGAGCTAGTGAGTGAGTGAGTGCAGTCGAAACACTTGAGCAATGTTTCACAGTACCCCTCTGACATATGTAAATTGGCATTGCTCCCACAGCCGAAAGCTATGGATGCGCAATGCCAGTTGGGAAGTGGTCAAATGTATCATATATGTTATATTGCGGATTATTTTTCTCTGTATGAGTGAGATATATTTATAGTAGAATTAAAAGCTACTGCAATGACAGCGGAAAGTAGTGCTGCCAACACCGGAATATTCTGGGTGAATTTCTAGTATGGACCAAAGGGATGTCAACGTTATTCTCGTTGTAGCCGGCAATCTCCGCACCTGCCACGTGTTGATTTATTTATCCCTTGGTAGCTGGAACGCAACGAGACATGGTTTCGAAATTGACATTCTGGAGTATTCGTGATAGCACAGTCATTACTAGACTAACGCTTCCTGATCGGGCTCATTGTTCCTACAAAGCAAAGGATTGTCCTAACTAGCTGGATCTAGTTTCCGTTCATTTTGAAGTAACTTTCAGATGTGCAGTCATCAAGAAGGACTTATGTATTTGATCTCCTTTAATGAATATTTCAATGTTAAATTTGAAGCTGGCTCCTGGATGATGGCAATCAAGAAACCCAAAATCAAGAAGATGATATCTTGGAAAATAAAGAGACAGAATGAGAGGGTTTGTGGGTTTGTAAAACACGACGTAATGCACTATTTGGTCACGACAAGTCGTCGAGTCGATAGAAATAAATAACGTGATGCTTGATCTGATAAGTGAACACAAACATATTGACAGACGAAGGAATGCATCATCCAGTCGAAACACTCGATTAATGTATCAGAGCTCTACGAATAAGGGAACAGACTAGAAGGCTCCCTTGCCATGATTGATCGATCGATTGATCGGTTGATTGATTGACGTTTTATTTAAGGTTTCATCGGACATGTCTCAAGAAGCTGTTGTACGTCCATGTAACTACCGCTGGGTACATGCCACGGATACAATATATAACAACCCATACTATTTCAAGTAAACCATATTTGACAACCATGTGAACTATAGCAAATAGAGGTTATATCAACACATACTCAAACTTACTACACATAATATTTAATCTCAAATCAATGCTAAAGACATTTGGAAACGGAAATGTAAATATTGCTATCAGTGTGTAGCAGAATTATGTAACGTGACATACCATCACGGTAATAGGATCAGAGAGGTGGAATGCGTAATCATGGTGTTGTCTACTGATGTTTCGGTTCTGCCAAAACGGATTCAATGTCTCACAAATTATCACGAATCTGCAGACAACCAGATAAATCGTCTGACATCATCTACCAAATTTGTCCACATATAACCCGATTATTGAGTTTATTCTGGAATATTGTTTCTGTTAAATCACCGGTTATTGCTGTTAGAGAAAAGCCGGTGGTGATCCATATCTGAGATAGTTCGTGGATTGGTTAAAACACGGGTGTGTAGTTTACAAACCAAGGAACATAGTGATGGGGAACCTTGCATTCTGGCACGCCTAAGGGACGCAACTCTGCAGGATACGACTACACCAACAGTCAGGGAGAAGACTTTATAACAAAACGTTTCTCTTTGCACGTCTGTTTGACTGGAAGTGATTTACATGGTCACATAACACAAAACTAGTTTACTGAGATCGTATTTAGCTATTATTCACACTTATATAAAACAATACTGTAACTTTAAAGGCAACAGGGCAAAGATGATATAATGTTTCTTTCATTTAATTTACTTCTTAAATGAAATGCGGACACGAAGCAACCACTGTCATTTCGGAAACTTATTTTTAATATTAATCAAGGTTTTCGCAAACTTAATCTTTAGTAATTCGAAAACATAACCGTCCGAACACAAGATCAATTCAGTTGAAGACTTGGCAATACAGACGCGTATGATATCAAAGACATATCCTCGTGCTGCAAAGTGCAGGTTCCTTTTGGTCACTCACTCACTCACTCGAGAATGTAATCCAAAACCAAATGCGTGAAGGTGGAGTACGTTGTTCTTAGAACCCGTCATACGCGATGATTTGGTGCCACGAATCACACATACGAACTCAACAGGACCAATTTTGCAGGTGATACTCGTTAACCGTACTAAATGATACACTGCATCATACCACTCTCACCTGTACCTGAATCAAATAATCAACATAACAACCAGGCACATCCGGAAGTGTTTAGAGTATAAGGAAACTCACCATGCATGAATCCTGTTCAGATTGTCTGATCGCGTGTTGCGAGTGTATGGTCCCTAACTTCCATTGATTCCAGAGCGCTTACCACGAACCTCATCCATCACGACAGATAGAAATTAGAGAACGACAGCGGGGTAACTATTGACTGTTGTATAAACTGCATTTAGGGCAAGGCATTTATACTGAATTCAGGGTAATTGTATCGAGGACATATGGTACGTTGGGATTCATCAACGCGTATTGTATTGAAGTGAAAAGGTTTTGAACCAGAGTGCAATTTGTGCCTTATCTTCCATGGCGATCTCAGAGGACATGAAGTTCATTGAAATTATTCCAGTAATGAAAACACAGTGCCTTGTGGTCAAATTCAGCAATGCAGATAACATTTATATCTACAAAGATCTAACAACCAATTTCCATTGTGTCATGTTAAAAAGAATGTACTTGGCTTTGGGGGAAATAATACAACGTACCTAAATTTAGAAAATTTAAGTTTTATATCTGAGTATGTTTTAATGTTTTTCGTGTCTTGTCACTAACAGTTTCAACGACTGATATGAGTCACGAAACTATTAACTTCACAGGGAACAATTAGGATGGTAAACTTTCCAGTTCTACACCTATATATAGCACGTTTCATTAAGCTGGTACAGCATTGGTTAAATGAATGAAGCTCTCGACAAGCGATCAATGAAAGTTTCAGTAAATTCAATTTCCTCTAATGGTTTCGGGAAGCCATTTGAATGAAGCTTTGTCAGGTTTCACAATCAATCTGACAATAGATGACTTTGGTTGAACCATTAGGCAGAGTACAATCTCTTTTTGAAAATACATGAATGCAACAGCATATACCTTCATACGCATTGGCAGATAAGTTCCAGCTTGATTTTTCAAAAAGAATCTTCCATGAATTTGGACATTAGTCGATTTTTATTTGTCAGCCACAGGTATCAAATCCAAATAACCTCCTTTGATTAAAACAATCTATTTGACGTACACATCACTACGGAAAGTAATATTTTATGGTATATTACGTCTTC